TGCTCTGAAGTATTTGAGAAATCGAAAGGATTCTCGATTGTTTGCCGTGCATTTCGAGGTCGTACATGCGTATATAAGTAGGTTACCTTAAAAAAAAGTCAACTATGGCAGCAAAAATTTCGGAATCAGACGAAAAAGTTTGATTGATTGCATGGAAGATCGGTAGAGGGTTTTCCGCATCTACGACCATCCAAATCGTGTGATATTCCTATAGAAAAGTGGCAAAAAATTTCACGCGCGTTCGTTGCGTCGTTTCGGACAAATACAACTGCCCTCGTCCAAGAAAGTATGGAAAAAAAAGGATAATTGCCCGGGCTACGCCTCAAACATCGGTATTTTAAACAACACAACTCGAGAGATAAAGTTTCATTGTTCAAAGTGAATTCCCCCTTTCCCTTGAGCTCGTAAAGATAACAACCGGGCACCTCTTGGCTCAGAAAATCGCAAAAAGAGCGCGAGCCTCGAAAGAAAGCGAGCGGCTATTAAAATAGCTCGATCCTCGCGCCACTGCTTCGAAATTTCTCAAATACCTCGGGCAGCTCCGACTGCCACGCCGAGTCCCTGAAAATTAAGTCCGGCCTTGCAAGGGTTTCTCTCTCTCTCTCTCTCGGACACCTTCGACGCGCAGCGGTCGTCCTTCCAGCCACGCGAGGTATTCCTTTCACAAAGCGAGGCGCACTTGTTGCACACGCGCTATACCCTCACCTGTAATGAACTCCCTCGACAAAAGCACCCCCCACCACGTTAAAGTGGGTAATGCACCCAAAAAAGGCCCAATAGGAGTAGAAAAAAAAAAAGGATCCCCTCGGCGGAGACCGAAAGTTATTAATCCTCGGTGGCTGGGGAGTTTCTCGCAATCGATAGAACCCCCGCTCGCTCTCGTTAATCCGAGCGCAACGCACGACGCTCCCGCGCGGAGAGTAGGTATACCTACCTATAATAACATCAGCTGCGCTCGGAAGTCGCTCATAGAAAGTCGCCCGGCCAACCGTGCCGGCTGGTGTGTATACACAACGTGGCAGCAGCAACGGCTCTCTCACACACTCGATCGCCGACAGTCTACCAGCGCGTACACGTCTTCGTGTCTTTCCGAAAAGTCGATAAAGAAAAAAAAAAAAAAAAAAAACAAGGAAGATGTCACCCGGCGTGTCGTTCGTCCATTGCGCTGCTACCGGTGGTCCGGTCGTGAATTGCCGGTCAAGTGGCAACGCGCTCTACACGATCGGTCGCGGTGTCTTTGCTCTCATCTTCCTCATGTTCTTCTTTTGCTCGGGTTTTGTGCTCAGACTCGCCGTCGAGGTCTTTGTCTTCAAGTGTCGCACTATACACGTGTGCTGATATACGCCGCACGTTTCGTGACCAACACCACAACTTCACGGGTTGCCACGGAGATCGGCCGTGCCGAGAGTATGTACGTATATATATATATGCACGAGATCCGTTGTTCATTTGCTTTCTAATCTGCTTTGTGTACTTGCTCCATTGTTGCCGATTTTCGATGCAGATCGGTTTGCCGTTCGTACGTATATTAACGACACAACGCGTACAATCCTCTATATCGATGGACATTTCATTTGCAAGCTTTCTGTCGAGAAATACTTTTTTTTTTAAGAATATACGTATTGCCGATCGGGCACCTTGGGAATTTTACAAAAAGCTGCTGCTTTGCCGATTCGCTAACGATAAGTTTCCTGCACTCGCGGAGCTGCTTTTGTGTATCGGCAAAAAACCACCCAAGTGTAGGAAAACCATCGACTGACTCGGCAAAGTTGCAAAGAAAAACAAGAAGAAGAAGAAACCGGTATGCGTTATGAACACGCTGTGCACCAAAAGGAGCTGCAACAAAAAAAAAGCGCTTCGATCGCGTGCTTATACTCATACACATCTGCAAATAACGACTGCCTTGACGGCTGATTTTCGTTTTAAATATTTTAGGCACGTTGTGCATGGGTAATTTGGCCTTTAGCGACCCTTCTCTTGCTTACATAACGTGGTCCCGGGAACTCCCGACTCGGATGAGCCAGACAGCTCTGAGGAAGGGCGTCATTTGTATCGATGCGGTTCTGGCTTTTTGAGAACTTTTTTTTTTTTTTTTTGTCGGGCTAAAAATATTTTCAAGGGGTTGTTTTTTTGGACGAACATGTCAATGTACTGTTTTGATGTGTAATTTGCGTAAACAGGAGTCGTTGGGTATTGTAATTTTTAAAAGAACAATAATCGTGGGTACTTGGAAATTTTGAAGCATAAATCAAAACAACTCGTTAAAGGTTCATACAAACGAAATCACTGGTATATTCGGGGAAAAACCAAACGTGTGCGATATCGTACTAGTTGAGTGTCGGTTCAAATTAAATCCAACGTTAAATCTAACGGAGCAACTTTCAAATTATATAACCATACCGTTTGTGGCTGCTTCGAATTTCAAAATGCTTCGTGTTTATTTTGGGATAACGTCAGAGTTGCTGTATTTTTAAGTAATTAACACGTACGTTTTGATATTCTTACGATACCGCAACTTGTTTACATAATATTCTAATGTAACGCATTATCGCAAGGTATTTTGAGAGCACTTGAATCACATTCTTCGAATACTGAAATGAATGGAATAATCTTTGTTTTATGTAGAGGATCGATTTTGACAAGTTATTGATAACCAACGTAATATTGCAAATTAAAAACTAATTTAAAATTTCGTTCCATTGTACGACAAATTGCGTATACAATTGCCACGAACTTTTCCCCAAAGTACTGAAACTTCTTCCATCCCTACGAGTCTCGAGTTCGATGTGACAACCATCAATTAGGGGCTCACGCTTGATCTTACTTTCAATGCACACGTCCCCCCCCTCCTTTTCGAAACCAATGGATGAAATTCTAATATACTTAGTTTTTCGATTAACTTCGCTTTCCAAGGCCTCGTTGCAGATATCAATCACGAGTAGCCGCGTGGCTGCCCGCCGATTTATGATTATCGTAATTAAACCGATGACGCCGATACACCTATACTGCGCTCCAGCCAACACAGCTGTTTAACTCATAGGCGGACGCGAGGTGAAAGACTTTTACCTTCGTTGCAGTCGGTGAAGTGAGAGTGAGAGTACAAGGGTATAAGTAGTACGTGGTGCGTGCAGCGCGTGTGTATATCCTTGATGCGCGAGAGATAGGTACGTTAAACCTTGCTCTAATGATTTCCCGCGAAGCTGCAAAAGTTAGTTTCCCCTTCCTCTTTTTTTTTTTTTTTTTTTTCATTCATCTGAAATTATCTTTGTTGGTTGCCGAGCGGGGGGTTTTTTTTGTTGTTGCGCTTTCGCGAGTAATTTGAAGGGCTCGTTTTTATGTTTGGCGTGGGATCGAGTTTTATTGAATTTTATGCGCGAATACAATAGTCAAGAGCGAAAGTTGGGCGGGCTCGGGTTTGCGCGAGTGATCGATTAGTGTGGGACTGCACGTGGAGTATAAGAGTACACATGAGTGCTCGAAAAAGCTGCTTCGGTTTATTTCTTCGGAGTCGCTTTCTAAATTAATTTCTAATGATATACTTCAGATCGGGTTGTGCAGAGAGTTGTTGCATTTTAACGTCATGCGTGGAAAAAAATGTTCATCCGATACATAATATATTTATGTAAAGTAACCCCAACGAGGCAGATATTATATGTACTTTGTTCTTTTACTTTCAATCGGATATTCATCTGCGGTGTTCTTTTGCTCGTATCTGGTTGCACGTACGTGTATCTCTTGGCTTGCAATGGAATATTATTTCAAATGAGGCTTTTTTTTCATTTGTGAGGTGATTATCTGAAATTTAGAGAAAGTAGCGTACTATTTTAGCTACAATGTATAAGCATGTGACTTATCTTTGATTGAAAAAAAAAAAAAAAAAATCAAAAGAAAAAACACGATTAGTTGTGGTAATGAGAATGAAAAAGCTTTTTTTCAGGATACACAAAAGTAAAAGATGGGCTTAGTTTTAGTTAATTTTAATTGTACTGGTATTAGTTTTGATATTAGATAACATTTTCGCGAGTGAATCAAAATTTTCTTCGTCAAACACCATGAAACTCCTGTTGTAAAGATATAAGTGCGTGTTTGGGCCTTGAATACCGATCAAAGTAAATAAAAAAAAATTTCCACCAACATATTGGTCATTATAAAATGTAAACGCGAAAATTGGAATATATATAGCATAAATCGGTATAAAAATTTCAGCCTTCAAAATTTCCTTACAATTTTATCACTCAAGCGAGAAAAATCTCGTGTCAATGATGCCCGAAAGAAAGTCCTTTCTTGGACATCATTCCGCGATCACACATAGTACACAGCTGGTACGTGAGTAATTACCTGAACACGAGACGAAAGAAAATCCACCAACAATCACTTTGTAATTTGCTAGAGTCTGCATTATACTTTCAGCTCTCACCTTTAATGATCGGTTTACCCGCTATAGACCGTTCAATCCCGTTCCTGTCGATTTCTGCTCAACACTGAATTCACGTGTTTTTTTGTTTGTAGTTTCAATTAGTCACAATTATACATATGGTATACATATATGTAAAACTTTACGTCTCGGTACTCGAAACATTACGCAGGAGATGGTTTTTTTTTGTGCAAGGATTACAGACCATGAGATTCACCGACGAGACTATAATCATTGAGTGATTCTTTTGTGAAAATTGTGAAATATTTATTTTGTACCCATCAACACAGAAACATTGTACATCCAACGAGATTCTCAGTGGAAGAGATTACACAAATCCACCTCGCAACAGTGGTAGGCACAGGCGAAAAACATGTCATCGAAGCGTCAACGACCAAACGTTAAACCTAAACACAAACGTTTTCTCTTTACATAATAAGCCCCCTCGAGCAGCAAAACGTATTTACATAGCTCCCATCGTAATCACGTTACGTCACCCTCATCGTCACAACACGACCTTATACATTTTTTTCAGCTCTCATCCCAAACTAAATACGTCCACGTCAAATCTTTCATGAATCCGCAGATGAATCTGAAATCCGAAGCTGCTGCACTGCGGTTCCTGCTAGCGGCACTGGTCCTTGGGCTGGCGTCCTGCGACACGCCGAGCAACGACAACGAGTCCCTGTCGAGCAGCAGCAGGGAGCCACGGAAGTACCTCGAGGTCGACGATCTCAACGCGTTCGAGTCACCAGCGACGAGACTCGTGGCCAGCCACGGCGGGGACAGCGAGGAGGCGGTGTTTGGTCACCTCTCGAAGAGCGGTTGGCCCAAAAAAGTCGTCAGAAGGGAGGCGCTCGTTCCGAAGAATAATGCAACCGCACAGGGTAGGACGGCCAGGCAGAGCCCGAAGAAACAGAGGCCCGGGTTTCTCTGGACCATCGCCAGGGTCACCTATGAGGTTCGTACGACGGGAAAACCGGAGATCGGTATACGAGAAACTCACTATACCCATCCAACTGTATACTCCCCACTTGATGAATGACGTCAAATACATAGTCGCGTTATGAGACGAGAATTGCGCAAGAATGATAATAATAATAACATTTCGCGGTGGATAATGAGCGGCACGTGAATCTTAAGGACTGTCGCGGTCGGCGATTCGTATTTGATTGCGCTCGGAAGACGTAACGCGGACGCCTCTTGGATGTTATATTTGGAGAAATTTAAGAGGCATGCACAGCAGAGGGTATACCAACGGCCTTGCCGATTTTTAACACGTTTAATTTCGTGGTTGACGAGTTGTGCCTGATTCGCGTGACGTTTACGTGCCTATTGCGCAACGGCTCTTGGGGTCACTCGGTTTAGACTTTTTTGCGCTTGTTTTGTCATCGTCGCATCGAGAGGTGAATTTCACTGATTGATTTTCTTCGGGACAGAAGAAAAAAAACCCCTGATTGACGAATCGTTTCGCGAAAAGAAAAAAACTGTTACATCTCGAGGCATCGTTACGTCCTCCGATCCCGACAGATACGAATGGCAGGGAGCCTCGGATCGAAGTGACTCCGGACGATGGCAAAAAAAGCCGACAACCAGCCCGACCGGAGTGTCCGAAATCGTCCCGGTGACATAAGTTTCTCTCTCTCGCGTGTCCACGCGTGACGGGCCGGCGATGAAATTTATAAACTCTGCCTCCGACCGTGGAAATAAAAGGCTCGCGTACCGATTTCCACGAGCCATGTGCTCGAAGATCGGTAGGGAAAAAAAGGGCATCGTACTTATCAGCGTCGAATTAGCATTTTTATTGACGATCATATACGCGCGAACGCGCAGCTTATCGATGGACAAACGCGTCTTGCGCAACGCGTCTTTTTTTTTGCCTCAGAGAAAAGTCATCGGACCGCTTCCCCCTTCCCCGCAGAGATGCATCGGAACTCGTTTTTTGCCGTCGAGCCTTTGACTCGTACTTTTTTTTTCATCACGCCTCGTTTGTTACGTGTTCATCGGCCGATTATTAATGTTCCACGGGGTGTATATGGTGTATGGCCGGAGACCGGGCTTCGTTGTATTTCCGAGATAGTGGCCCTTGTCGACTTTTCGGACCGCGTGAATTAATACATCTCGCGGCTTTATAATTGCAGATGCATATAATATACGCTCGATAAGCGAATCGCGAGGACACGTCGCGTTTATGACGTGTGTATATTTTACTGTCGTCCGTGCGCGTGTAGGTATAAATTCACTTTCGTTTTCGTGTTTGGAGAAAAAATCTACATGATTCTCGATAAGACCGATCTTGTAATTGTTTTATAAAGTCGAGAGAGAGAAAAAAGAGATGGAGAGAGGTGCGACCGAGTTTTCGAAGGTAGCTGAATAAATCACCTCCGCGCGTCCTGATTTCGTTTTTCTTATCTCGGTGTTTCCTTTCCCCCCCCCCCTCCTCTCCCGCAATTAATCCGCGTTAAAAGAAAGCTTGTGAAACATTGCCTGCCCGGGAGATTAATTGAAATTTGTTTCGATGCGATTGCACTCTGATTCCTCGATAACACGAAACGTGACTCGATTTTTTTTTTTTTCCTTTTTTTATCTTCAAGTTAAAATTTCATAATTCACACTTGGCTGTACACATAAATAAAGCCAATGACCACCGGCTGGCCGCATATGAATTATAATTGCGTGTAAAATGTTACCGAATAACAAGTCATTACTATCGTATCGAAAATTCACGCCTTGGTATATATATATACACACCTCTCTCATAAAAACAATCGCGTGTAATCGTCCCTTGGCCTGTTTCAATTATTTTCTCGTCCCTACATTTAAGCGAAAGTTGTTTTAATTTGCGTCCAAATGAATCATCCTTTTGCTTTTTCCGAAACCTTTGCTTTGTCGCCCGAGATACATAGAGAAAAGGTAATCCACAGCTAATCCCAAATCCAGCGCCTAGAGATAGCTTAGCCGCGCTCCTTTCGCGTTGGGCGGGCTGCAGCCAATCTAGGCGCTAAACCACACACCTGCACGCGAGCGCTCACCACCCCATTCACGAGTGCAACTCTGCTCGATCCACTTACATCATTTATTGCGACGCCTCGTACCTTGATTACTATTTTTTTTTGTTTTTTTGTTTTTCATTCCACGGTACCTTGAACGCGCATCTCGCCAACACAAACAAGTACACATTATGCACCGAGAGGTCGCATGCAGTGGAAATTTCGCAATCGCTCTCGCGTCTCGCTTTTGTTTCTCGCTCTTCCCTCTCGGTTTATATGCATCTGGAGCAGAGGCGTGCGCAACGATTTAGAGCTCACTCGTGGGCGGGCGTGTTGTGTTCGTTAATGAGTTACACCGAGGGAGAGAGAGAGAGAGAGGTCGGGCCCGCCTGTTATATACATACATATACATAATTTGCACACGTGTCTTATTTGAGACGCGAGGGGGACCCCTTGGGCCTTGAGGAAAAATTTCGCGTGCGGTTTGCGAATTGAATTGCTAAAGTTACACGAACAGGACCCAGCGCAATTAGGGATTTTGTAAGGTGTGCGCACGTATGTAGGTGCCGGTTTTCCATAATCATTTTCCGATCGGCGTAATTGCCTTCGATGAGGCTGGGCTTCACGTGAATATTATTCGACGCGTGAATTACCCAAGGATTCGGTCGGTATTACCCTCCAAATTGTATCTAATGCCACATCGTCGGAAAGGAGTAATTTCATACTGTTTTTTCTTTCTTTCTTTGAAGGCACCTAATATTTAATCAAAACTCCGCCGAAAGAATTGCGCAAGTGATCCAAAAAACGTGATATCGTTGAGTTCCCTCTCACCCGGACAAAAAAGAAAGCGTGATATCTCTATAGATAGGTGTATCCCGAAAACACGGGCGCATTCTACACGTGCCTTTTGTTTTCTCCCGTCCACCATTCAGACGTTCAACGATACGCGCTCGGCCATCAAGCAGATAGGCCAGATAATAAACGAGAGCATAGCGCCCGACCCGCCGAAGAAGAAGGCGAGCCTGAAGAAGCCGATAACCAGCGCCAAAGCGGCTGGGGGTAAGAAACCGAGCAACGCGGATGTGGTGGCTACGACTCAGCCGACGACGACCACCACCGAGGAGTTCAAGCTGACCAGGCCTTTGCTCCAGAGTCTCGTACGGCGCAACGTTTTGGGCCTCGTGAGGCTCTTCAACATCGAGTGGCGCGACGCCATCAGTGTAAGTCCCTTCGTATCTCTGATCCTTTTATTTTTAATCTCGAAGGAGTGGCCTCTCGACCAAAGAGCTTTTGGGTGCTATTAGCGTGTCTTGCTCGCTTTGGTCGTTGTAGGGTAGCTTGTTTTTTTTTTTTTTTTTTTTTTTTTTTTTTTTTTTTTTTTTTTTTTTTTTTTTTTTNGCTTCTTTTTTACGTAATTTACACAGTAAGATTGAGTGCTCAAATAAGTGAAACACCGCGAAGAGAAGGGAATTAGTCGTGAACGATCAAATTTTGCAATTCCAGCTTCAACAATGAGTCTTCCTGTTGTATGACTACGTTTTTCATACAATGTAGCCTCACTTTCGAGTGGTGTCTAAATATTTTTGTTGCGCAAATTTTACGGCGCAAAAGCGTAATATGCAAAAAAAAAATAAAAAATCTTTTACTTTTTTGTTTAGGAATCGAAGAACAGCGTAAGGGAATTTCGAAGCGATCTCGGGAAACAAATAGGCATGTTCCTCCAAGACAATCCGAACAACTATTGATGACAACGACGCCGACGACAATGCGGATGTTACTTGCTGTCGATGATCTCCCCATCGTCATTCGAAAGTCTTTCGCGTGTACATAAGGATTCGGAATGTCATAGAGTGCACAGCTTCTCGTGGATATTGCCAAAGAACACTCTCACACACAGAAATGGATTGCGCGACGTGTTCTCTCTCTCTCTTGGAAACGAAGTGTATACCTACTAACGCGAATCTCTGTTTTTGTTTTTTTCAAGTGTACCGTACCAATACTGTTACGAGATGTGTATATTTTCTTTTTTTTATGCTAGATTGTAAGTTTATTATGTTGTGGTGTGGCTGCCATGTGTATACGCCATTCGCTCTCCGGACATTGTTCCCATTGTTCCAAATAAACTTTGCCTGTGAACGCGGTGTACGTAGATTGTAATGTAAATATCTTCTTTCTTTCTTTTTTGATGTACGAGTAAATTTGGAGAATGTGGTTAGTATGTAGCTCGTTGATCGCAAAAAAAGGACATTTCTGTTATAAATTTGTAAAAAAAAAAAAAAAAAAAAAAACCTTTCAATTTGTATTCGTACAGACGAGTGTGTGCGAATGGTGTTTTCGCTGTGATTCTTTTCGAGCGCGTGTCAGTCGACGAATGAGGGTACACGTCGAGGACACGAGTTTCGATGCGAAACGACGGGCGCACTGTATATACATGACTCTTTGAAAAACATATCAAGTTGGGTTTAAGTGTACTTACACGCTGACGCAGAATCAATTTCTTTTTGTGAAAGTCGACTGCTCACGGGCTCGCTCGAAGTTACGCACTTTTCCGAAATAACATGTAAAACACGTATTTTTGTACTACAATGCATACATGTATTTTTACTTTTTACTCTGTTTTTACTCTAACAATTGTATGTACGCGAGATTGGGATGTTCTCCAGAAAACACACCAGAGAAAATAATTTTTACCCTTTATTGATAAGTAATCGAGGTGGAAAAAAAATAAATTATTGTAAAATCGACTATTGCAATTTATTTTTAAGGCTCAAGATCCAAAGTGCCCTCAAAAAACGCTTCACGCGAGGGTAATCCGAATCGTTTTTCTTACGACCCCACAGACGCAAATTAAATTTAACGATCCTTTCGGCGCCAGAAACAAAAACGTTACCTCGAGCCGAACTTGAGATCACATCGTACCCTCGATATATCCCTGCCCCTCGGTAAGGATAAGAATCGCAAAGAGTTGCGAAATTGGAGGCCAAAATAGCGGGAAAAAGCTCCCCGCGACCGTTAAAATCCTTCATTAAAACACTTCACCCGAGCATAGTCCCCCGCATTGGCTCTCGCGAAAGAGGTCGATCGGGCGCTTCGATCGCATCGAGTGTAAGAGCAGACTCGGACGAAATGACTTAATTCCATTGGACGCGCGCGGAGAGGAAGAAAAATAAAAAAAAGAGGCCCGGGCCATGCAAAGTCGCGTCCGTTTCTCATGTATTATTCAACGCGAGGAGCCACCCACTCGAACGCACGTTGGCGTGCCCCTTTTTTCTCGCGTCTTCGGCCTGACTTATCGACAACCCCCCTTTTTTTTTCATTTTCACTTCTTACGATGCATCCCGTTGGATGGGCAAATCTTTTTGTTTTTCAGCTTCGATGGACCATTGGGGCCATTTGTACGAGTTTACACCACGCACGCGAGGTTTCTCTCTGTTACGCTCGGCACACGGAAATTTCAATAAACCATCGTCAAAATTACAGACTTCGCGACTTTTCGAGGGTAATTATCGCCTGGTTGGGTATTTTGCAAACGAGGAGTCAGTCCTCGAGCGGATCATCGTGACCGGGATGAGCCCCAATAACAATACGTATACTCCCGGCGCACGACGGAAAGCCCCAGGGGCGATCACGAAACTCGTTTCTACACAATATTTATATGTGCACATTACATGGCTTTGCTGGCACAAATTTTTCGCTTTTCGCCCGAGCTGTGGAAATTTTGTACGAAAATCGAGAAAAATTTACGAATGGCTAAAGTTTAGCGGAATCGCCGTGTGAATGCAAATCCTGCGTTACAATGTCTTCGAAAGTTGCGGCCAGATAGAATTTGGCGAAGAGAGAGAGAGAGAAAAAACAACTGAAATTACATGGACGCACGTTTTCTCTGGCCGAAAAAAGAAATGTGTTAGTCTTGCGAGCGCACGTGTAGGTGTATGTACATGCACGCTGAATTCGAAAGTGCCGAAACACAAGCCCCGACGAGGAGGGGGAGGAAGGGAGCCGATCACGATTCCAATTTTCGTAGCGCACTTGCACGTAAAGGGAGCACAATTTTTTTGTTGTCCATCGTTGCACAAGCCGCCACGCTCACCCACCCATGTGTGCATCATCTCGCGATTTCGGGACTCCCGAGCGCTTATCTCGCGGTTCGCGTCCATCAATCATGCCCGCAACGAGACAAAGGCGGCACGAGGAATAACACATCTTTTGGCGGACAAAAAGTGGGGGAGGGAATACAGATGCCCGAGCGCACTCGGCAGGTGGTACTGTGTTGCACGATGATGTATACGTGTGAGTAAATCCGAAGCGGCCGAGAAAACATTTTCTCGGGCGCCTCGCCAGCAACACTCGCGTTACGTAAACCAGATTGATATTGAATAATTGAAGCTGATCCGAAAGCTCGGGCTGATCGCCGGATTAATCCAATCAAAAGCCGGGAGCCACGTGTTTTTTTCAAAATCCAAACACTCCGATATTTGTGTATACACATATATGTATATCGAGATCGAAGAGGCTTACATCACGTGAAATGTTACTTTGGTTTTTTTGCCCAATTACACGCGCTCCGTTGTCCACCGAGCGCGGCAATCTCCATCGAGACCCATTGCGCGCCCGCGTTTTTATCAGTAAAAACAACAACGAGTCTCAAAGCGATACGCGCGGTGCAGGCTCGTTGCGCAGGCCGATAGATATACTCTCCAGACGATCGGCCGGTTCATCCCCGTGGGAGCCTGCGTTGCGAGTAAATGTCCGAAGCGCCAAATCCCCATGGTAAAGCGCGCGTCGTCGATATTGCGCAAAACTCGAATTTACATCCATGCATCCACACACGCGAGATATTTTCAATTTGAATCGCGCACGCACTGCCGATCATGATATCGGTATGTGTATGATTGACGCGGTTACCTCACGCGTCGACCCACCGGCTACGTCTTCGGAGAGAGAAACAAAGGATCCACCATTACCTATACACGCCGATGCTTATTTTACAATACTCGTGTATACAGGTGGTGCTTGCAAGATTATTATGATTATTATCGCTCCTTCGTTAATTAGATTACGTGCATTATGCCATTGGCTGCGTATCTTCGCGGGGGATCTTTATTGTGTGCAGAGGCTAATGGACGCCAATCATCGTGATAAAAGAAACAAGAAGAAAAGAACAAAATCCCGCGATTTATATAATTGATCCCACTTACGGGATATACGTTTCCACGTAACTTTATATACGAGTGCTTTGTTTTCATCGATCAAGTGATAATTCCCGATACTGCGCAGTCCAAGGGGAAGTATTAGCCATCGGGTCGATTGATCGGGCTATTTATAAAATCGAGCATGGAAATGCTATTTTCACCCGCACGATCATCGCTCGAGTATCAAGGAGTTCACAAGTGCACATGTAATACGTACCTACACATATATATATAGTCGTTCACGTGGTATATAGGTATAACGGCAAGAAATGAGAAGCTAATTTTCACCTGTCTCTTGTTAGGTTCTCTCGGGCCCATTGTCACACGGTGAGCACCGGGTTCGTTCATTATCCAAAGGTGTACATGAGCTCGGAAAAGGTCACGCTTGTCTGCTCGAACAAGGTATTTGCGAGAAAAAGGACCTCTTGTGATAATCACTTGAGCGGTGGAAACTTTTCCTTCATGCGGTGACGAATGCAATTATACGTATCTTTTTCTTTTCGTTGGGTAAAACTCCGAGCGCCCGACAATGACATATCCTTGACACAGTGCATGAGCCGGCTCTCCGACAGAACTAGGATTTCGCGTAATTAGCTTAACCGCGGTCAATTATCCATCGAAAATGGAGGCTACTTCGTTCCGAGAAACAGCCGGACGCCGGAGGTGTGGACGATTAGCGCGCGCTCCTCGTTAGGGAGTCGTTAATTTTCGAGCAAGGTGAGACCAAATTTGCGATCAAGTTCACTCGAAGGATCAGCTCATGGAAAAAAAAGAAAAAAAGGAAAAAGGAAAAATAGTTCAAAGCTTAACCTCCGATGGGGCTGTTTTAATGTTCAGCGCGCATAGTTTTTCCAAAGCACAAAGACGATCTCGAACGAGTTTCAAACTGGTTTCCCCACCGATTTCTGCGTCTCTCGCTAGAGAGTATACGTGTGCCAATCGGATGGCGCAAAAAGGCGAATCTTTGGCGAATCCAAGAGAATGCGCTCCGCAGAAGTGACAGTGAAACCCTGCGCCGTTGTTTCCAGCTAAACCAGTATACCCCACCGAGCGAGCCAAAAACCGCGGCATTTTTCCGTAGAAAAAGCACGGGAGAGAAGAGACGCGGAGGATATATATATGAAAAAAAAAAAAAGGAGAAAGAAATCTCCATACATTACGAGGACCTGCCAGTGCGCGGTGGCGCATTGAAAGGCCTTCCACGTAAGTTGTGTTGCACCGGCCGCGGCCACGGCGACCGGCTGTATTGCGCACTATCCTTAAGGCGACAAGCCTTTTCGAAACTTTGGCCTCCCTCTCCTTATCTCCTCCAACTAATCAATCGACCGCGACGCAAGATAGATGCGCATCTCTTTGGGTTGGCAGTCGTGACGATTCGCTTGACGCGTTCCTCGACACGCGGCAGGCTATTAGCCACTTACGGCTATTTGCGACATCGATGCATGCATATAATATATACCTACCCGATCTTGCGATTGGGCCCGCTGGGCTTTTCCTCATTTGCATCGGGCCGTGCCGAAAGCTACGTCAGGTGTTGGCTCCGAAATCGGGTGATAGACGACGCCAGGGGTTTAATTGTATATGCAGGGAAACTCGCTCCGCGTGAGTTTGCGTGTAGGAGAGCCTCGAGGAAAACTACTCCGGGGCGCTTGTACCGCAATCTTGGGCTCCGATCCGAGTCACGATTGCACTGTTCGGAGACCCAAGAGCCTTGTGCTGTTGGTTACACTATACTCTGGAGTTTAATAACAACATATATTATAACCTTAGTGGAACTAATACCTCGTAATGTGGAGGGAAAAAAATGAAGCACTTGTGCGTGTGAATCAAGGAGGGCGTTGATTGTCTATTTTTTCTTGTACGGGCGTTGGAAGGATCCGAGTAAATGTTATAGTCGCACCTGTGAGTTTGTTTATCGGATCTTTCGGGGCACGGAAAAAAAATGCGATTATAAAAATGTACCCGTGACCTTTGCTGTAATAGATTAATCGCTCTGAGGTCGGGTATTTTTGCACAGCCAATTCTTAAGAAGTTACACCAAATTACGTGGTTTAAGGAGCAATTAGGCATTTTCGCTTTTACGCAATGCGTGTAGAAAGTCTTTCAGGAAGCGGAAAGCTGTAGATGTGTCGTAAAATAGCATGATCTTCTCTCTAAAAAGTATCTTTGGTGGTATGAGTGTAACGAGTAGAAAGAAGTCATTATTATTGAGAATTTAACAACGATAACGACAGTCCCGTCGAATGGTGGAAATTTGAGAGTTCTCTGCCTGGCTGCTGTTTATAGGTGCTTCCTATAGAATGCAGTGCCCCGCAATTATACTGTCATTGTAAAAAATCCATGTCGATTTTTCACTAAAAGGATTTTCTTAATGCTTGTTAAACCTAATTTACTACCCCCAAATGTGAGAAAAAATAGATTTTTTACTTTGAAATAATAAAACTCTTCTGATAAGAAAGTATTCATTCAAAAGCACATTGCAAAGTATTTTTATTTTATCTCATCACCATTAATTATACATTTTAATTTCTAAAAAAATAATAGTGTACCATAATTTACGTACGCTTAATCCTTTTTTACTAGTTTTAAACTCATTTGGCGGTACACTTTCCGCCACATGACTCTTAAGAGTAAACACAACTTGATTAGNTTATTATTATAGTTATATGATCAGTTAACAAAGATATTTTATCATATTCCCATTACAGTTTATTTTAGATTTTAATTTCTAAAAAAATAATAGTGTACCATAATTTACGTACGCTTAATCCTTTTTTACTAGTTTTAAACTCATTTGGCGGTACACTTTCCGCCACATGACTCTTAAGAGTAAACACAACTTGATTAGTAAATATATTACAACAGCGATCGCAGCAACGATGACTCCATAAACGTCTAACAGATAAATTTGCCACCAAGGCATATCGACCAGTGGAGACCGTAGTGCATCTTTGCCATGTCGGTGTATGTACTCCACCCAGTAGACAGCAGTATCGATTGGATTTACTAAATTATCCCGAAATTTTCGACTGACATTCTTCATGGATTCCCTACGAATAATCAATAATTTAATGACCAAAGTATGTTTCCACTAAAAAAATTGAGAAAAATTTATTTTAACTGTCATTACTTGTACAGTGGGTTGCCCAAAATCTCCTTGAAAGCTTTTGTCAGTGATTGCTCACTTATTCCATGTTTGTTTATTCTTATTACGATATTCAGCTTAACGTATGCGTCGATATTCATATTTTGATCGACAAACAAGGGAATGCCAATCATTGGTACTTCATAATAGATTGCTTCTTGTGTACTCATTAAACCACCGTGAGTCACGAAAAGTTTCACGTTTTTATGTTCTAAAAATTTTGTTATTTTACGAATGATTTATTTTAAAGAACCGTTGTTTTTATCAAATAATAAATAAATGAACTTCAATACTTAAAACTTTTATTTGCTGCAGCCATGGTTTAATCATGACGTTTGAAGGGATACCATCTGGTAGCAATTTGGAATTCACAACTTTTAGTAGAATACGAGTTGGTGCAATATTTTTGAAGGCTCTGTAGAGTTCTTGAATCAAGGGTAAAGGAAAAGTTTCTAGCAGTACCATCGATCCAAAAGAAAAATATACACATCCATGCTCACTTTCGTCCAACCACTTTTGTACGTCCTGTATATAAAACAAATCTGAAATAAAAGTTTTTTGTCTTTACAATACAATTTTTTCATAACAAACCTGTGACAGAGTTTCGTTGGAATCCACAATATGCAAGCCACCAACTGGTACAATAGTAGGAGTTAGTGGTCTTATACCGTTTATTGCTTTGTTTTGGTTTACTAGAATGAACGAAAAATCTTTAAGTATCTCAGGGCTGCCGGGGTAGTCTGGCCCAAAAACTTTTTTTATGCATTCGTTCTGTAGCTTCTCTCCTGAGAATCTGTAAATTATTATGGATACATGATGTGCAATATAGTTTTCGAGTCGTTCTCTGAAACTCATGGGAGTACTATAAGGTGAGAAGAGACTGGAATCTATTGCTAAATTAAACGGATTTCCTTGTGGATAATAAATGAGATCAAATGTTGATGTAGTGACGATGCCTATTATTGGCACATTTAAGTGACGACCAAAAGGAATAAAACAAACAGGTATGACAAACTGCAACAAATGTATTCTAGGATAAGCTTTGACTTTTCTATAACGAGTAAAGGAAAGAAAATTATATTTTTTACTTTCTGACTAGTAAAACTTACCTCTAAAATAATGAGATCGTAAGGTGGATTTCTGGGTGGGTTTTTAATTAGTTTTTGAAAGTATGGATGATCCAGGAGTTGGCACATCAATTTTATGTCATTCATCAATTTATTCACGAGGTACCTCAAGGGAGTTTCGTTGCTAACAACGTTATTATAGTTGACATTGTTAACTCCAGTTTGTAATGTTCCTTTAAGACTAAAATCCGTGTAATTAGATACAGGTTTTGTTAATGGAAAATGACTGTATACATCGACTTGGTGACCTTTTGCTGCTAAGCCTTTCATCACTTGTTCGCACATGATAAAGTGACTTTTAGAATGATATGGAAATAAGCCAAGGATTCGTAGACCATGGGCTAGATTAGGTGTAGTGCTTGGAAATAAAAACGTAGCAAACGCAGCGTACACATAAAAGTTAGTTGTAAATGCCATTTTTTATCTGAAATAAATAACACAGAGTAATTATATATATGAAGTACATTGCTTAAGTGTACTTCACAGTAGTTCTAAAATGTACAAATATTTTTTAACCTTACGAAATCTGCTGTTTTTTAAATACGGTTTTCCAAAAAAAATTTGTTCCAGATTCGCAAACTTTTTTTTTACCATAACACTCTTGTATAGCGATTATTGGAGTCTTGGTAAATAACTTTGACAGACTGAATTCTGGCTAGAATTAAAAGTTTTAGGTTTCACACATGACGAACATTAAATATTGAAATTCAACGTTTTAAGGAACACTACACGTATTGACAATAAGTCATTATACGTATACTGATTATCTTACCGATAAAAATACTCATTGTGATATGAAAAAAATTGGAGGTAGAGTTTTGGAGGTAGAGTTAACAAAGTCTTTAGCTGTGCTGTTTTTGATAAAAACAGTCGTTAGTAGTCGTTACTATTGAAAACAGAAAGGTTTTTCAGAACTAGTTAAAACAAAATTTAATTACTCATAAAGCAAAAGTAATCTTTTTAACATTTTCATCATCTAAAACCTAAAGTAATTTCATCTCCAATATCGAAAAATCACGAAATCTATTATTTATGAATATCGAAATTGAAATTAATATTAGTTTCATACTGATATACTGTTTTGAAATATCTTGATTTCCCAACATTTTTTTGTACGTACTTTCTAATACAGATTATCACGGTAACTACATTATTTTCAAGATGAAAAAATCTCGTACAGTGTAATATTATCAATCTAATAAAAAGATGGTGTAAATAGTATACTGTACTATGAAAATTGCTTTTCCACCTCTACCTTAATTGTCAAGATTAGAGAAATACTACTTTTTCGATAGTCGTTATAGTTGATATGTACTCGTATAATTCTCGATAATATTGTTACCACGTGATCAAGTAAGTTGACTTTTTATTGGATTAGAAGCTTTCAGCAATTAATTTGGGTATAACGAATTAAATTACCTTATTTCAAAGTGATAAAGCATATTCTAATAATACTAAGTTGATTTATGCATCTCGTGCATTGTATAAGTGCTTGTAAATGCCTTATTTCATGGCTACATTTATTGTTATAGTTGTTAAAGAAACGAAATATAGAGATTTTGTCGGTGTGTATAACATCACTAATATTTTTAAATTCACTATCCGACTGATGGAATTGTACTAAGTAAATGGCTAATTGCGCTGATTCTATGCACCGAAATATTTTTAAGTAGAAATTTTTTCATGAAATAATAAAATCTTATCTNCTATTCGATGGAATTGTACTAAGTAAATGGCTAATTGCGCTGATCTTATGAATCAAAGAACTTGTGGATGTTAGCTCTCTTGTTAGCTCAAATAACTGGTATTTTTATTACTATTTTTGTTCTTTTGTAAAATATTGTTTTCATGAAATAATTAAATCTTACCTTCAAGAAATATTCTTACGAAGGTGTACTATGGACTGAATTTCACATTTCACAGTTACTCAAATAAATGCTTATTTTAAAGTTGTTCATATTTTCAGAAACTTATCAAAAGTAATAAATATCTCATCAAATAGTATTTATCACAAAGTATTTTACTCAGATTGCAAGTGTCCCTTTCAACATAACAAAAAAAATTGCTAATATTTAACCAGCAATGATTTTACGTATGAAAGGAAATCACCCAGTCAGTCAGTTCAGCAAAGTTGATTAACTATTCTTTTGTAAAAAAAAATTGTAACTCGTTCAAAAAACTGCAGAAGACAAAAAGTAGTTTTTTCCTTATATACCTTTATTTTAATGCACCTCCTAAAACACCCTCAAACTCTTAAAATGGAAAAATTCTCTTTTTGAAAAGGATGCATTCAATTATTATTATAGTTATATGATCAGTTAACAAAGATATTTTATCATATTCCCATTACAGTTTATTTTAGATTTTAATTTCTAAAAAAATAATAGTGTACCATAATTTACGTACGCTTAATCCTTTTTTACTAGTTTTAAACTCATTTGGCGGTACACTTTCCGCCACATGACTCTTAAGAGTAAACACAACTTGATTAGTAAATATATTACAACAGCGATCGCAGCAACGATGACTCCATAAACGTCTAACAGATAAATTTGCCACCAAGGCATATCGACCAGTGGAGACCGCAGTGCATCTTTGCCATGTCTGTGTATGTACTCCACCCAGTAGACAGCAGTATCGATTGGATTTACTAAATTATCCCGGAATTTTCGACTGACATTCTTCATGGATTCCCTACAATTAATCGATAATTTATTTATGACAATATCTTTTTATACATGTAAATCTAGAAAGATATGTATTGGCTGCTGATTACTTGTATATTGGGTTGCCTAAAACTTCCTTGAAAGCTTCCGTCAGTGATTGCTCACTTATTTCATGTTTATTTATNCGATGAGGGTTTAAAGCTAACAAATTTTAATTTTGTCACATCTCATAGCAAGTAAAGTCTTTATACCCTCAGATGCAACATGGATTTTTTTTGAAATTCTGATTAGTATGAAGATGAATTGAAATCGCTTATTTTATATCTAATTACACTTGTCATGCTGTTCAACAGCCAACTAGTACACTACCTTTTTAATTCTATATAATTGGTCATCAATTTTCCACGAGATTTATTGTAATGCTGCACTGACAAAAAATACTAAATCAAAGAAAATTTTCACTATTTGAAACAAGGCAATACACTAACAGTAAGAGTATTTATACTGTTTTCAAGAGAAGATTTTTTGGAATTAATTAAGTGAGTATTGTTTTAGATAGATTTTTTTTAAAGGTGATTAAGAGTAATTCTCTCTTCAAACTTTCTGTTGGCATTGTACTAATGAATGAGAAATTTATTGCAAACTATGACGCTCTTGAGCATCGATGGAAAAGTGAAAAATGGTTTTTTATTAACACAAATTAAAAGCATGCATATTCCTGTTTTATTCATAAATTTTTTTGCTGGACCATTTTGTGAAGTAGGTATACTACCAAATGATACGCTGATACTTGATATGATTCATATGATAAAGATTCAAACTCAGAGCAAATCCTGTAATATAATACAAAGAAGATAAATAATCCACAAATAATAACATACACAGTAACCTTTTTTTTTCTACAAATTTATCTCGTATTCTGTAGTGTTCTTAAGCTAAAATGTCCCTGCACATGCAGTACGCAAAGATACAGAAGGAAGAAAGGAGCGCACACGTTTCGCAAGCCGATTTGAATATTGTCGTCTTTGAGGTGAGGTGACACTATTGTATACGATGTCAGGGCTTTTTTGTTTTACTTGCGCAAGTGAGAGAGAAGGAGACTCGCATGCTTTTTCGCGCGTACGCAAATCATACGGGTTTGAAAAGAAGGAGATATTTTTTTTTTCCTTTGCTTGTACATCACATTTGCAGTCGCGAATCGTGACAGCTCACGAGTCTTGATTTACGTCTGGCATGGCGAGGAAAGGCGATGCGTCTTCTCAGCCACTCTGCGACGGGTAGTGATTTTTTACCGCAGCTTCGTTGAAGGCACCAATTAGATCAACGTGGCTGCACTCTCTCGGCTGCCATTGTAGGAAGAAAAAGTAAACAGTGGACATTTTGGAAGGTATCTTGGTATTTCTAACATTCTCGTGTGTACATTCCACTGATTCATAAATAAGCATAAAAATTTGGATTATGCAGATTACGGTGTACTATCCTCGAGCGTGACATGACATTAATCTGGCCTTGAAATTCGAAAACCTGATTTTTTATTTGCTCATTTACGTTTTGGCTCACTGCTTATCTCATTTCAGGTAATAATACCATCCATTATGAGGATCTATAATAATAGAATGGCACAGATGTACAACAATTTCGATATTATCTGCACATATATTTAAGATGTTATCACACGGCTGTAAGCAATATGTCTAAACACGTACAATTGACGAGTCAAAGTCGTATCGAAAAAAAATCTATGTACATAGTTTTTACACCATGTTCACTTGTTCCTTCGTAGCAGCAGATAAATTAGCGTGACAACCGCGAATACAAGTAGCAGTGGCTCGTAATCGTTTACGAAACAATTTTAGTTGTAAATCAATCGCATCGCAGGTATTAATGTTTACCACCAATGAGAAGATATGTATCTACTCTAGTGGCTCGCCACAGATTGCGGTGGCTAATAAGCGGACACTTCCTCTTCCTTATAAAATAGATTAATTTTCAGATTGTCTTTTCGTTTTACTATAACGTTAATTATATTCAAGTTCTGGCACTGAATGCCTATAAAACTGCGCATCTCTATTGAAAATTCACGACAGCTAACATAAAATTTTAATTCATCGGAATCTTTCTTTTCACACAGTAAATGGAAAATTTGTTTATGGCCGCTTCGATTATTAAAAAGGAAGAGAAAAACCTCATCTATTTCACTTTCAGCGAGATGCAAAGAAGAAAGTAAAACCCTTTTTTTTCAGCAACTTATATCAGCGAGGGAAAGTTAGCTGCTCTTATCCGTATGGGCCTTTTTTTATTGGCGACATCGCGTGTACTTATTAAAAGCTAGCGAATGTCGACATCGATAAACTTGAAAGCATATCAAAGGCCAGGCCTTGCACGAGCCACGGAATATAATTATTCCACGATAAAATTTAACCGCGCCAAATCATGAGAAGTAACTGGAAATCAACACGGTATAGTGAGCTCTACTCTCACTGCTTCGGATAGTAAAAAAATGATTATGGATTACCTAAGTTTAAGTTCAATACCACCTCGCCATCCGAGTAAAAAACAAGAAAATATTAATAAAAGAGTCCCTGTCCTCGTAAGCATTTTCCAAAGTTTCTCTTCAAGCCACGATAACGACGATCTATCATACAATTTGTCGAAGAGCTATGACCTATTATATGTGCATGGCTTATGGTATCCACATACTTGCACACATGCTCAAACAAACTCGTACAGGTATATATCACCACTCGAGAT